ATTCTTGCTTGATGGTTATATAGTATGCATTGAAAGATCTTGCCTTTGTTTCATTCCTGCTCATTGCTTAGCATCGTTAGGATGTTGCAGCTGTGTGCTTAAGTCCATATTCTTGATTGGTGTTTAACTAACTAGGTCCTTATTAGTTCACAAGATTGATAAGTTGATCTGAATTCTTGCTTGAGTGAGAGAATGATTGCTTAATTAGTACATCTCTTAGGCTAGAATGGTTCTGATCTTTATGCTCATGGTTGAAGAATACGCCATCACAAGTGGGTTTGACATTTCAATCTTGTTGAATATAAACTGCTTATTGATGCCAAGTTGGTTCTTTTTAGATACCTTGTCTAGGAGTACAACATTGAGAATTACTTGCTTTTGAATGCTTGATGCTTGCCTTTGTTAGAAATCCCCATTTTCACTCTTGAAAACCACTATCCCACAATTACTTAGAACCTTGAGTCTTGCTTTTAATCAATTGTCTTTAAGATCATCTTGCTTAGTATTGCTTCAGTTTCTTGCTTAGCTCTTGCTTTGTCATTGCTTTAAGTTCAGTGCTTAGTTTTATTTACTTGCATTTAGTTTCTGCTTCCTTTCCATTGCATTGTTAGGTTGTTAGACTTGTTCTGGCTTAATCAAAACTTCATTATTGCTTAGCTTATCATATTGTTTGCATCTCATCTTCCACAAATGATTGATACCTGATCCCTATTCTACAACTGATTAGAGGCTAAGGATATTTGGTTCAAGACCAAAAACATCTTGTTTCAAGAAGCTACAGTTTCCATCGCATGGAGCCACAGTCTGCCAAGTATGACGTTAAATGGAGATGGGCGGTCTATAACCACGAAGTCAATTGTTTTTATGAGCCTGCCAGCTCTGAATGAGAGCTGGATGGTTCCTAATGAATAGGTGGTTTCTCCGGCGAAGCCGGTGAGTGGAATTCGATCGTTCGACAGCATGGATGTTTGGTATCCCATGCGTCTAAAAACGTTAAAGAACAGCACGTCTATCGAGCTTCCGGTGTCTATCATGACCCTTATGAGGTCCAAACCGCCTACAGCGATATGGATGACAAGAATATCATCATGTGGTTTGTCCAGAGACATATTTGATGGTCAGGCCCATCTAAAGGTAGGTTCACGGTGGCGGACTCGACTTTGCGTTGATATACCTTGATCGAGTTGATTGAATCTCGGCACATCTTTGAGCCTCCACAGATGAAGTCGATTCGCTTTATTGTGGGTAGCTTCCCCTCCCCCTTCCCCCAAACGAGTGATCTTTGTGTGAGCTAGAGGTCGCTTGAATTCGAGGTGTCGATAGTTGGTTGATGATCAGTTTTGACGAGCTGCCGAGTAGGTTGAGCACTCGCCCCCAGCAACTTATGGAGCTTGGATGAGCCGGAGCTCGAGAGTTTCCATTGTGCAGGTGGGGTGTGATTACTGATTTCATTGACCCGCCACAAAGGCTTAGTTCTCTGAAAATCAGGTCGATTATTTTTCTCGCTGGAAGAGGAGAATCTGAAGTTTGAACTTCGACTTCGACTTCGCGATCTTGCTTTTGAGATGCTTTGTCGAGGTCCTCATCCTTGTTTTTGGTCGAGGTCTTTTTAGGCTATTCTCTTTTTTCCCTCGGCCTTCTCATCTTTCTCCTTGGCGAGCTTTCTTGCTGGGATTTTAGCTCGAGCTCGACATTCCTCGCTGGAGTGCCCGTTTTTTGTGGTGGTCGCAATATTTATTTTGGTCGAAGTTCGACTCCTTTTCGGGGGGCAAACTCTCTATAGCATATGAATGCTGACCTTTGCTTTGCGGCTCCCGTTTGGGAGGTGGAACATTTACTTTCTTCGACCAAAAGAGTGCGAGGTGTAACTGTCCGTTCCGATATTTTTCTTCGCAGGCGGATATTTCGTCTTTAAAGTTAGCAAATATGGACGCGCGGTGAAGTGCATCGTCAAGTGAGTCTGTAGGTCAAAACATGAGTTCTTCCTTGAACTTTGATTTATACCATATTTTGGTTTTGAGGGCGAGCAAGGCAACTGCTTCATTAGGATTTGTGATTTTGCTTTGATCGCTTTGAGTTTAGCGATATATAATTGAAGTGGTTCATCTGGATGTTGGACTAGTTTCTTCGGATTCTCATTTTTCGATGAAGATCGAATATTGCTTGAGGACGGCTACAGCGAGCTCGTTGAAATTCCCAATTGAATTTTCTTCCAGCGTTGCAAACCATTCATGGACTGGTCTGACTAAGTTTTCGGTGAAGAGCATGTAGTATCCTGCTTCTATTTCCTCTGGTGAGAAATTAGCTCAAAAAGCTGCGAGGTTGAAGAGTCAGATATGAGCGTTTGGGTTCCAGCGTACTCTAGGACTCGTACTTTAGCAGTGTCTCTGAGGTATGTGTTCATGATCGGGTAAGTGAACGGAGTCTGTTGGGTCTCGCGGATCACTCGAACGATGTCGGGAGCTGAGCTCGTGGCTTGATAGAACATGGAGTTCATCTGCCGAAAGGCGAATTCAGTCTGGTTTTAGAATCTTTTGAAGGATTCGCAGTCGACTAAGTTTCTTGAACCGACGCTGTGGTGGTCAGCCCGAGTCAGATCATTTGGAACGTGAGTTCCATTTTGTTGGTGGACGAATCTAGTGGGTTGCTCACAAGTTCCGTTAGGGGTTCTCGAGTTCGAGATTGTGTTTGGTTGTTGGCTGAACTGGGGAGGTATCTTCGAGCTCGAGGCAAAGGCCGAAGACCCAAGCTATCTCTGGCGAGGTGGCTCAGTTCCATGTGGTCTTAAAGGCGGAGACGGATATCTCGTGTTGGAATGAGGTCCCATTTCAGGTATCCCCAGCCCTAGCACAGGTGGAGATGGATATCTCATCGCGGGGCGAAGTCCTATCTCTGATATTCTTGGAGCCAAAATTTCCATTGTGATTTGTGTCTGGTTCACTGCAGGGGTAAAATTTAGTGAACCTGGAGCACACAAAGGTGTTGCAAAATGTCTGGATGGATTGCTTGGAGTAGGAATCAACGAAAAGTCAAGCTGAGTCCATGGAGGGGACTCGCAGCAGATCTAGCTGCGGCTTGACGCCTTTCCTGTCTTTCTAATCTGATATCCTGATCTCGTTGTCGATCGATCAGGTGTGTGAGCATTTGGAGTATCTCTGCCGGCTCTGTTGCGCTCCCAAAGGCTACAGGTGGTGGTGGAGAGGTAGGAGCTGCTTGGCTCTGAGATGTTGAAGCTGTTGGAGAATTCTCTTATTGCACCCAGGTTCGAGAGGCAGGCCTCTCGACTGTTGTGAGTGGTTACCGGTGGGGTGATGAGGTTGATCACGATCGGTTCCACGTGACTGGGAATGTTCGAGTTCGTGCCAGTGGTGTTGATGAGGGTAGTGACCTTGGGTTTGTTTCCGCCGGTTGTCTCGCTGACGTTGCCGGTCAGAGTAGTTTAATCTGGAGAGATCGGAATCGGGGAAGCGTTTCCCAAAAGCTGTTGAGTTGAATCCATTTCGGTTTCAGCTGGCTTAGGATCTGCTCTTGAGTAAGAGAAGTCTAATGATCTGTTTCCCACAGACGGCGTCAAAATATGGATATAGATATCTACACTCAGAAATTTATGTGTTTTATAAAGAAAGAACTTTAGGAGATTTAAAGGTTATATTCTCTCGAACAGATTGACAGTATAAACAAGCACTAACTAAAATAAAGATTGGATATTAATTGGGTGAATAAAACGGTTACAAGATTTCTCTAAGAGAGATGAAGTAAAAAGAGCTCGAAGAGCGGTTACAGAGTTTTCGAATATTAGAAAGTGTCAGAATGGATCTCCCATAAACTAAGCCATTTGTCTCTTTTATATAGTTCGCCACGTCGAGCTTCAACCTCCAGCGCGTATCTCGGCCAAGTGCAGCAACCTCTCCCAGAAATCTCAGGCTCATTTGAACTGACGGAAATATGCTCCGATTTTGTGTAGATCCTTCTTTGTTTCTTGAATTTTGTCGAGTTGGAGCTCGATCTCATCGAACGGAACGTTGATTGTTCAGACTTGAATCATTGAAAGTGATTAAACATGGTCGTACGAACGAGATCCAATCAACTGAACTTAATTTTAAAATATTATTATTAGATTTAAATGAATCGGATCTAATATAACAAATCTAACTCCAATACATATGTTAAAATCTTAATAATTTAAATTACCATATATCATAATCGTATAAATTACTAACTTTAACATATTTAATTTTATATAATAAAATGTAAATACATATATCTCACATAGATAATAATTATTACCTCAATTTTGAAATTGTCAATAACAAAACAAAAGCTCAAAGTTGGCACATTAACCCATCATCACGACATGTTTATTTGCTCAGAAACATCGTTACTCTCACTTTCCTCTTTTCCAAACTTTGGCTTCACCCTTTTGCTCTTTTGTCCCCACTTCTCATAGTGGGTCCCTTCTCTCGACAATTTGTCTTCTAGAAACCGGAGATCTTCCAGATTTTACACCTTCCACATCATCCACCGTCGATCACTCCATTACATGACATCCCATTAACGGTCTAGGATGAAGGAGTACAGAAGATCCCATGAACCAGCATCTAATAAAAGACATCTCCTTGAAAAGAACGAGCTAACCGTAGTATTTTATTTCAGTTAAAATCTCCTCTTTATTCCAAATTTTGAGCGTTGTGATATTTTAATGGATGAGGATGAAAAAAGAGAAAAACAAACTTTACCATTGTTGTTTTCCTTTTGATTTATAGCCGTTGGATCGCTTTATTTTCTCACCAAAAACTCCAACTTTAGTTATATGATACGTCTCCAACGGTGGTGAACAACAGTTATTGGAGATTGAATCGTAGCTGTTGAAATGTTTGACTTAAGTAAGTACTTACAAATGGGGTCAATACTCACTATGAGCTACAAGAATGAGTCTTGGTCTATAGCGTAAACCCCAAAGCCATTTGCCTTTCTCTCTCTGTCTGTCTCTCTCTCAGTAGTCAGTAGTGTACATGGCTACTTTGAGATTTCTCCACATTTTCTTCTTCTTCCTTGTGGAGCTTGGTGCCACATCATCATCTTCCTATGATGTGAAGCTTCTCTTAGAAAAGGTCAAGCCTTCACTGCAGGGTACCAGCGAGAACCTACTCTTGTCTTCGTGGAACTCCTCTGTCCCCGTTTGTCAATGGAGAGGGGTAAAATGGGTATTTTCAAACGGGTCACCTCTCCATTGCACAGACCTCTCTTCACCACAATGGACAAACGTCTCTCTCTTCAACGACTCCACACTGCACCTTCTCTCTCTTCAGCTCCCTTCTGCAAATCTCACCGGTTCACTTCCCAGAGAGATTGGTGAGTTCTCTCTGCTTCAGAATCTGTTCCTCAACATCAATTCCTTAACCGGGTCTATCCCTTTAGAGCTCGGTTACGCTTCTTCACTGTCTGAAATCGATTTGAGCAGTAATAACTTATCTGGTGTTTTGCCTCCATCGATTTGGAACCTCTGTGATAAGATTTCCTCAATCAAGATTCATGAGAACTCGTTCTCTGGTGACTTCCCTGAGCCAGCTTTGCCAGATTCCACGTGTAGTAACCTTCAAGTTCTTGTTTTTGGTGGTAATAAGTTCTCTGGTGGTTTCCCTGACTTTATAACGAAGTTTAAAGGTCTAAAGGAGCTTGATTTGTCAAGTAACATGTTTGATGGCAATGTTCCTGCGGGTTTAACTTTATTGAAACTAGAAAGACTTAACCTTTCTCACAATAACTTCACTGGGGTGTTGCCAAGTTTTGGTGGGGGATCAAAGTTTGGTGTAGAAGTCTTTGAAGGGAACAGTCCTAACCTTTGTGGGTTACCTTTAAAGCAATGTTTAGGTTCCTCTAGGTTGAGAGCAAGTGCTGTTGCTGGTCTTGTGATAGGTTTAATGACTGGGATCGTTGTCACGGCCTCGTTACTAATTGGGTATATGCAGAACAAGAAGAGAAAGAACAGTATAGAGAGTGAAGATGATTTGGAAGGAGGTGATGAAGAAGAAGAAGAAGTTGGTGATGGTGAGGGGAAGTTGGTTGTGTTTCAAGGAGGTGAGAATCTGACTCTAGAGGAAGTTTTGAATGCGACGGGTCAAGTAATGGAGAAAACGAGCTATGGCACTGTCTATAAGGCTAAACTCAGTGAAGGAGGAACAATTGCTTTGAGGCTATTGAGAGAAGGAAGCTGCAAAGATAGAAGCTCTTGTCTGCCTATTATAAAGCAATTGGGACGTATTCGACATGAGAACTTGGTTCCTTTGAGAGCTTTCTATCAAGGAAAAAGAGGAGAGAAGCTTCTCATATATGACTATCTTCCCAATAGAAACCTTCATGATTTGTTGCACGGTACTAACACTTTTTCTTACATAAACTTCTTTCCATTGATGGGAATGCGAGTCTTGTAGTAATGTTCTTGATTGGTTTAGAATATTATGAGTATAGTAGTAATGTTCTTGATTGGTTTGATTCCTTTGCAGAGAGTAAACCAGGAAAACCGGTTCTGAATTGGGCTAGGAGACACAAGATTGCGTTGGGAATAGCGAGGGGGTTAGCTTATCTTCACACTGGACAAGAAGTTCCTATAATCCATGGAAACGTTAGATCAGGGAACGTTCTTGTGGATGATTTTTTCTTGGCGAGACTCACTGAGTTTGGTCTTGACAAGCTAATGGTACAAGCCGTAGCTGATGATGTCATGTCGCAGGCGAAAACCGACGGATACAAAGCAGCAGAACTACACAAGATGAAGAAATGCAATCCAAGAACCGATGTTTATGCCTATGGGATCATTCTCTTGGAGATTTTAATGGGGAAGAAACCGGGAAAAACCGGAAGGAACAACGAGTTTGTTGATTTAACTTCGTTGGTCAAAATTGCGGTTTTGGAGGAGACGACAATGGAAGTATTTGATTTGGAGGTTCTTAAAGGGATAAGGAGTCCAATGGAAGATGGTTTGGTTCAAGCATTGAAGCTAGCTATGGGATGTTGTGCTCCCGTGCCGTCGGTTCGACCCACCATGGAAGAGGTTGTGAGGCAGTTGGAAGAAAACAGACCGAGGAATAGATCGGCTTTGTATAGCCCTAATGAAACGAGAAGTGAAGCTGAAACTCCATTTTGAGAACACAATCTTTGTAATATGTACTGAGCTTTTTTTAGTTTTCATGTTTGTAATTCTCACTTGGTAGAGACTATCTGTTTCAGAGCAAAACCATTTTATCTGATTTGATTTATTCCTAAAAGATCCAAGCGAACCGAACAATGCCAAGATAATCAGTTTTTGGTTTTAGTTTGGTTACTTAAGTTAAACCGATTGGGAACACCAGTTATCGGTTCGATTTGGTTTGGCCAAACCATTTAATTATCCGTATTTTTTTGTTTAATCTTTCCTAAACCAACATATCTGTTGACTAAAATGTTTTAGCATTGGTGTATAAATCACCCCAAATTTGATTATAAAATACACCAATTTACACCAGATTTGATTATAAATATATTAAAATTTTGAATCAAATAACCAAATTAACAAAAGTTATCCAAATTCGTCTGAATTTAATTGATTTTGATCGAATTTATAAGAAAAATCCGAAAACATTGATTAATTTCAATAAAATTTAAAATATCCAAGGGAGCAATTCATAGGATGTCACCGCATCAAAAAGGTCGACAGAACAAACTTGCCCCTTTTTGCGGTCATGGACTTTGAACCAAACACATCTTTTTGATCGACTGGTTGGCAATATACCAAACTGAACCAACTCATAAATTTTGTGGTTAATATCGGTAGGTTTTTAAAAACTGAAAAACCAAAAAGAAGACTGACAGATTCGGTTTGGTTCAGTTCAGTTTGATTAACCAGAAATTCTAGATTTGGTCACTAGTGGTAACTAGTAATTGCCAATTGAAAACAATCTATTTAAAGAAAAATATAGTGTGGAGAGCAATGTAACTATACTAAAAACTTGGAGTCAAAACATGGGAACGAAGAAAAACGAGTTCTTCTTCTTCTTTCTTCCCCATTTTTCATATTTTTTTCTATATATGTTCTGTTTTAGTTTTCGGAGGTTATACAAATGATTAACAACGCGTACCGATCCTGCATTTTAAGGCACCCGAATTATAGGTAAGCATTCCTACAATGGAAGATGATTTAGCAGCTAAACTTGAGGCTCTAGCGTAGCTTGAAGAAGATTCAGTTCCAGAGGAAGTGAAGTAAGCACCATTAAGCATTAAGTCTCCTTGTGATCTCCAGTTCCAATGGTTCCATTCTCCTTTCCCTGCATCCACCCTCTTCGTTACCTATCCAAAAAATAATATATACAGATCAATGATTATATCTAGTGCCGGCCATGGCTGGCACATTGTAATCGACCATAGGACAAAAAAAATATTTTGGGCCTTTTCAAAATTTCTTGTTTTAGGTTTTTTACTGAACTTGTTAATTTAATTAGTTTTTTACGTAGTATGTTTCTAGATTTTTTAAGAAAACAAAATATGTATATATATATATATTATTTTATGGGTATTTTTAATCTAATTTTGTAATATTTTAGTTTTTGTATAAAAAAAAATCAAAACACTTATTTATTAGGACATCAGTTTGGTGTCCGGGACTGTGCACCCCTTGTCCCCCTAGTAAGTCGGCCCTGGTGCCAGGCTGCCAGCTCGAAGTCATATAACACTGATAAGATATTTGGCACCTAAATCCCTTGTTTCACTGGTTTTAGTCCAGTGAGACTCTGACTATGTCAACCTATACAGATTAAAAAATTGATATAAACGGGATTTATCGAATACCTCCTTAGCAAAACGGTTTCCCGGGGCAAGAAACCGGTTTCCTTGACTGTTGATGGTAGGATTAGCACTTCCACCGATTGCGTACATTAACCAGTGAGTGTAATCGTTGTTTACCACATGGAAGTATCCATGCCTACACCTGAAAATGATACCAAACATTTTAAAACCCATTCATATACTAACGAGTTAATATAACTAATTTGACCATAAGAGGAAACCAAAGATAAAGCACCTTGGCATTCTCTGTATAAGACCCTCTCCAAAATGGTTGTATGCAATGGTCACTTGCATCATTTTGTCTCTCGTGTAGGAATCGGTATGCCCCAACAAAATAGCCTACATTATAATTTCTTGTTAGCATTTGAAGGTATGGCAAAGAAAAGGACAAAAAATTCTTGTTCTGCTGCATTCATGGATTTTAAGATAATGTGCTTTATGTTTGCCAAAAATATATATAAAAAAAAAACAGAAAAGATAAAAGACCCTAATCACAGTGTTTGTGATACATTTTTACCCCATAATCAGCCCATAACTAAGCCCAATTAAAGTTTATGGAAGAATTCACCCAAAAGCTAGTTCAAAAGTGAGGGGACCCATGAGACTTTATAAGACATTAGTTACTTTCTAATATAACTGATGTGGGATATGTATCATATCGTAACAATACCGCCTCCTTTAGTCAGTGACGTCCTTGTCGCTAGCGACTGTAATCAGCCCATAACTAAGTCCAACTAAAGCCCATGAAAAACTCATCCAAAAGCTAGCTCAAGAGTGAGGGGACCATGGGATTATATAAGGCATTATGATGCAGCGTGATATATGGAATATTTCCAAATATCTTAAATATCTTTATTATTTACTTATCTGTGTATTTAGATAATTATTATTTATTATTTAGAGCTTTCTAGAATATTTTAGGGTTTTTATGATTTATTATAAATAAGCCGTTTATGCATTCATTGTAATTCAGACTTTGATAAATTAATAAAAAGGGATTCCCAAAAAGAGGTTTTGATAAACCACTATGAAGAGTATTCGCAAACCCTAATTTCCGGGTATTCTTAGAATCAACGGATCTAGTTCTATCTGTGGTAGCTTCCGCTCCATCAGTTGGTATCAGAGCTGCGTCTCTTTGATTTCTTAATCGAAGAACGATTCTGGATCACGATGAGTAATTGCATCTATACTTTCGAGAACGAAAGTCCTTTTGTCGACAGAGAAGAGAGCCAAGAGATCTACAAAGAGATCTATGGCGATCCGATCTATGATGTCTATGAAGAAGATATCCTAATTATCGATCATATTGATTATGTATTTGGTGCAAGAATCCGTGCAAGACTTGATTTGTGTGCATAATCAGGTTCGTGCGAAAATTGTGTAGATCCATATCCGTGCAAACTTAGGGCAGAATGGAAGGTCTTCGAAGTCGCAAGAGAGGCAGATCTGTGATGAGTTTGGTGTGTGCAAAATCGGTGTGGATTCGATTTGTGCAAATTTTGTATAAAGTTCGGTTCGTGCAAAAACCGTGTATTTTCAACAAGAAGATAATAAATCGATGTGGAAAAACCGATTGAAGATTCGAGGGCGAATCTTTCTTGGCCGCGAGACCTGATGCAGCATGATATTTGGAATATTTCTAAATATCTTAAATATCTTTATTATTTATTTATTTATGTATTTAGATAATTATTATTTATTATTTAGAGTTTTCTAAAATATTTTAACATTTTTATGATTTATTATAAATAAGCTATTTATGCATTCATTGTAATTCAGACTTTGATAAATTAATAATTCAGATTTTGATAAACTATTGTAAATAATATTCACAATAATTTTCGAGTATTTTTAGAATCAAGGAATCTAATTCTATAGCTTCAGCTACATCACATTAGTTACTTTCTAATATAACCGATGTGGGATATGTATCATATGGTAACAGTTTGATAAACATAAAGCACAAAAATCAAAGAAGAAACCAAACCTCGTTATGGTGAGTGAGATAGTTATTCGAAATAGTGATAGCAGTAGATCCCATAATCGCATCGATCAACCCATCAGCACAATTCGATAACGAGTTATGATCAATCCAAATATGACTCGACCCAAAAATCGAGATCCCATCACCATCCGCCATCGTTCTCCAACCATAATGCGTCTCCGAGCTCCGAACCATCGCGTTACCGGTTCGTTTACAATCATGAATACTAATCCCGTGAATAATGATATTCGTCACGTACTGAATCGTGATACAGCCTCCACCAGCGATGTGAACGTTCACGCCACGACCATCGATGGTTTTGAAGCTGTTCATGATTAGCTCTTGGCTTAACGTGATGACCATGTCGCGCTTGAAGACGATCCAGAGCGGTTGGTCCTGGATAACTGCGTATCGAAGCGTACCCGGTTTGGGATTAACCGGATCGTGATCCGATGGATCGGTTACGATGTAGAAACGTCCGTCGCGTCCTCCGACGGCGTTGCGGCCGAATCCGATCGCGCAAGTTGATAGACGTTTCCTCCGGCGATGCCATTTTTTATCGCATCGCCAACAATCGTCGATTGGGTTTCCGGTTGCGCAGGAGAAGTAGCCTAGCTTCCTTCGCTCTGTACTGTTTCGTATGCTCCTGCGAGTCCCGTAAAGGATTTTAATTAAATTAACTTGCAAAAAGAGAACAAATGTTTTACGGATTATATCAAAAAGAGATCCGTGATATTTTGGGATCTCAGAGGGATGTTTATTGTGTAAAGTTGTCAATTTCCAAATTGGTTACCGAATACGATCCATTTCCCTCTCGGTTTGTTTGGTATGATTATTTGTAATCCATTGAAATAATTAATATCCGTTTGAAAGAATAATTGAGTTTATTTTTGTTGATATAAGAAAAGAGACATGTTCCGAACCCAAAAAAAAAATTAAGAAAAGAGACATGATGTTACTCCTTCTAATTTCTATTTCAAATTATCCAGAAATAGACACATATATTTTCATAATTTCTTTTAAAAAATTTCAGAGATTATTTACTCTATACAAAAACATATAATCTCTAGTTTAACCTTTATTCAAATTAGTGCAATTTCAGGTAATGATTTTAAATACTCAAACTTTTTAAAAATATGATCATGTATTTTGATCAAATATGCTTTAGATATTATATTAGTGGATTTAAACATGATAACTCTTTTCTTAAAAAAGAAGAAAAGAGACATAATATTTGTTTAAAAGGATAATTGTTTTCTTTTTTACCTTATATTTCGATCAAATATATAGTTTAGATAATATTTGAAATATTTAAATTATTTGGTTACGATTTTTATATGTTATATTACATGTTTTAATATTTGAAGTTAAAACTAGAAAATATTTTTAAATTAGATTAAATTGTTTCAAATTGAATCAATTTTTTTTTGAAATCATTTCAAATTATAAAATTACATCTAAATGAAATAAAAAAATATATTTTTTTTTATCTTAGCCGAATCAAATATTTATAAAATCAAATTGAACTAAACCGAATCAAATTTTTATAAAATTAAATTAAATGAACATAATTAAAATTCTGTAAATATTGATAATTTTAATTAAAATATAAAATTATATAAATGAAATTGACAATTAATTAATTAATTTTGATTTTACTACACATTTTTGGATTAATTCGAGTTTAAGTAAAATTAATGTAAAATTTAATTCTCAATAAATATATATTTTTAAAGGTCTTTATTTTTTATAATCTATATAATATTTAAATTAAATTAATAAATCAATAAATATTTATGTTTTATAATCTATATAATATTTAAATAAATACTAACCAAAAATTCTTTTTTCTCAGTTTACATCTCCTTATCTCTTTAACTCATTTAGTTAGTTCTTAAATTTTGAATTTTTTATTATTATTTACCAAATTCACCCAAAACTTAAACCAGAAAACTTTACATCGAACTAAATAAAATAACCGAATATTCATCACTGACCAACCAAAATAATTATTACTAGACCGTGTACAAAGTTAAGCTAGGGCCTAGCTAGAGAAGAGAAACAAAAAGAAGGACGCAATATAAAATTAATTTGATGAGGTGAGGTGGGTCAACGTGGGCAAATTTAATGTCGTCTTGTATAAGGAATGAATGATACAGTATATATATTTTCATGGGATACGATCCCGTACGGGCAACTTTGTTGTCAATTCTCTATAATTCCGTAACTAAATGCATTACGCCAGAACCTATTATTATTATACCCAGATTCAGGCTTCAATATGAAAAATATATATAAAAAAGTGAAAATGGCATAAGAAAACCTTTAAAATCGTAATTATTTACATTTTAAATTTTGAGCTTTTCAATTGTTACTTTAAATTATTAATCTAATTTCTTTAATTTATTAAACTATTAGTCTAACTTTTTTAGTTGCGCCAATCTTTTGTTAGACATAATCATTAATTTAGATAAGAGAATATATTTTCAAATGACAGTAAAATAATTTTTCGATTATAAAAATAAAAATAAAAATTAATTTAACTGGTTAATAAATGCATTAAAATCAAAATGAAGTAAATCATATTTTGAGTATATTGATTTAATATGGGTTTTAGGATTTTATGAAGATGAATTTTGAAAATTTTGGATAGTGTAAATAATTTTGGATATAATTTATCATTTTCAATCAGATTTTTAGAGTTTTATAATCGGAGAATCACTATACTATCACTTGAAAAATATATTCATTTAAATTAAGAATCCTGTCTAAAAAATATTGCTATAACTAAAGAAACTAGATTGATGGTTTAATATTAAAAAAATAGTTTGAAAGTTTAAAGTATTAGTTAAAAATTCTCAAAATTTAAAATGTAAAATGACTGTCACTTAAAAAAACATTATATGATTTAATAACTTCATCAGAATTTAATAAATAATAACAGTGTGACAATACATCCATGTGTACGTTTAATATATTAAATATATGTGCATAATATTTTTAACATTCAGAAAAAAATCAAGTTAAACTAATTTTTCTATAAAATAATCATAAAAATAGTTTTAGTAGATTAATAACCTTTCATAGTTTGAGTGATATTTTTAACACATCTAAAGTATATTTTCATAATTATTTGTCAAAGTTTGATGAATGTTTTGAATAATAAATTAAACAGAATCATATTTTTCAATCATAATAAAGTAGACGTAAAAAAAAACACACACACACCCGTTCTCGTTGCTACTTTCTAATTTTTGTCAAAGTTAATACCATTTTGCATATTAACCTATAATAAATAAAAGGGAAAACATCCTATACATATATATGCACAATGTATGTAAGCATTAATACAATGGCGTCGGTGGATCTTAAGGGTGAAATGGTGAGGTATAAATGGGAATCACGGTGTGTGGCTTCATTCAATAAAATTGCTGTTCTTCTGTCAGAAGTGTTTCACATGTTTATTTATTTATTTTCCTCACAACACAGGAATGATGAAAAAATAGTAGCATATTTACCTCAATAATATATTGGTATTTTTCAATTTCGTTGATCACAATGCCCATAAAAATGTTATTACAGAAAAATATCACTGGAAAACTAATTATTCTTTTACATAGTCAGAGAAATTATGCGTGTAAAACTGTTTTTTTCTTGGCCTACACATAGCTTTAGCCTTTTTTCAAGTTAAAGTATCACCTCGTTTGACTATCTGAAACGTTACTAATATGAATATATCTAATAAAGTGTTTTTTTTAAGTGTGTACTATAGTAGTATATTATAGTGAGTGAGACTCACATATCGACCATGGCTGCTACTTCTTCTGGGTCTTTAACGGCGTGTTCATGCCATTCACTGAGAAAAACAGAACATGCAAAACGACATCGCTTAGTACCATAGATCCAATCTGAATAGCTAAGATCAAATCTACAAAAAGAAGTTGAAATGAGAACTCACTAATCCGCCAGTGATGTATTTCTTGATCTCTCAGGATTTAATTCCTCTGTTTTGTTAACTCTGCATTGTAATACACAGAGACAAAACAGTAACGTAAGAATCTCTGTCCGAACGATAGACAACAAATCCGAGATCACATCGAAATTTGAGAATCTCTGAACTTACGCATTTACATCAACAAAGAGTGTTAGAATCATGATCAGAGTTGCTGAGATTAAGAACAATGTTCTAGTGACCACCATTGTTGGCTATTGCACAATTTCTCTTATAAATGGGGAGAGAGAGAGAGAGAGAGAGAGAGAGAGAGAGAGAGAGAGAGAGAGAGAGAGAGAGAGAGAGAGTTAGATAGAGAGATCTAGAGTGAGAGATCAGAGGTGATGAGAGGGTTTATATATATAAGGAGAGAACTAGTTTGCAAAGGAGCTGCATAACTCCGTTAGTTATATTTGGACGCGTCGTTGACGGTGACGTAGTTCTTTTGTAACGGCGTCTTCTACCTTCCGTCATTAGATTGTCTTGAATCAGTGTACCGCTTGTGAAGAAATCTTGTACTATTTTGAGTACCCAATTAACTCATATAAATCAAACAGTTCTTGGATTTGGGTACGTTCAGTTTTTGGACTAATGATAGAAAACTTGAGAATTCGAATCTTACAGAACTTACAATGTTGAAGTAGTTAGAATGAACTTGCTAATTAAAGAACGCATGGAGTAAATTTGTTTGCAAGTATACAAAACTTTTAAAAATAAATAGAAACTCTTAGGGGATGAATTTTCATTTTCAAAAAGAGACGAATCTAGACTTTGATTATTTTTGAATTATTATGTTTAGAATTTTGGTTATTTTCGAATATTTTTAGTTATATTTAAATGATTTTTGGATAAAAATATTTGAAATCTAGACCGAATCTAAAAAATTAACAAACCATTATGAATTCGGAGAGATCCAAACCAAATCTGATCCAAAATATAATAATATCTAATCGGTATCAAAAATTATAATTCTGAAATATCCTAAATCCAAAATATTCGATCCGATTCAATCCAGCAACCCGAATGTCCACCCTACATCTAATCCAATAGATTCAGATATTAACTTTATGAATTAAAAAAAATGCTAAACATTTATTCGAAAATATAAAGTGTTCAGTAGCATTTTATGAAATATTTATAGGAGGTGTGTGTTCATGGTCGCAAGTAAACTTCATTTCACGTGTTCATCCACTATGGGATGAGTAGCGTCCGTGTAGTCCGATGAATCCACCGTCCGAAACATGAGATCAACTCTATAAACGATGAGCTGGCTTACGGGAAGGTTCTCTAACGCCCAAATCATGAACACCTTAACAAGAATAAATACTCAGGAGAGTAGGTTCTAGGTGGGTTTCAAAGTGGAGTGCTACATCCAGGGATCATAGCACTAGTCTCATATGTTATTTGGTAGCGACCGGGGTTGTCATGAATCATCAAGAGAGTGGGGTTAGAACTCTCTCATTACTGATAAGGCATAGAAGAAAGACGATCATACCTCCCATGGCACGTCATCCAGACAAATCGACGGAATAATGTATGAGAATGGCTGCAGTAGGTCGGAGACGTCAGGTAAGAGTTCTTAAACATTTCATACGAGGGTAAGGATCCAATGAGATCCTTATGGGCTCATTAGCCAGTAATCCTCTACTTTCAGTGTTGTCTATTTTTCTAGCCTTGACCTTTTGTCCATTCGGCCCATTGCCTTCTTGTGAATCACAAGGCTTCATTTATACTACTTATGGCTGGCTTCCGGTTGGCTTCGTGTACTATGCGGACTATGTCTGCACCCTAGGTAGTAAGTCACCTGCCTCAGTGCCAGACTCGTGCGGTGGCTTGGCGTGTCCTCAACATCCCGCCTGCTACCTATCAAGACAGGTTCAATGATATAAGACTCAGGAAAACTTATATGAACCGGATGGTGGATGGAGGATACAAGATGGCAGTTGCTTTCTCTTGTGAATGCAAAAATGCACACAAAATATATCCTCAGAAGGATAATCCAAGCAAGCAAGTAAAGAAACAAGACCCCCCAAGGGAATACATATGAAATATATCCCTGGAAGGGCAATACAAACAAAGAAACAAGAACCCCGAGGGGAATGCACACTAAATATATCTCTGGAAGGGTAATCGAAGCAAGCAAGTAAAGAAACAAGACTCCCTATAGAAATGCACACAAAATACATCCCAAGAAGGGTAATGCAAGCAAGCAAAGAAACAAGAACCCCAAAGGAAATATGCACACAAAATCTGTCTCTAGAAGATAAATGCAAGCAAGCAACCAAATAAACAATAAACCCGAGGGAAATGCATATGAAATATGTCCTTAGAAGGGTAAGGCAAGCAATGTGATAGAACATTGTTGGTCATATCTATTCTTTCCCTAGCAGGCTGTTTGTTCAGCCGGATAGCTAATTTTATCTCGGGTGACCTTTCCTACACCTCTAGCTTTTTCCCTAGTCGGGTCTGTTCTCCTTTTTCAAGCATATTTGACTTTACCGGGTTTGATGATGTCTCTTATGATTTCTGCATACGTTTCCATCCGTCTACATGGCCCTACATGTGACGACGCTTTGTTTGCTCACGGAATAGAGAGTTGCACCCTAATGTTTGCCTTTCTTTGTGTTCCACTGTAGACCCACCGTTTTGCCTTTCACCATTATTGCCAGTCGCACTTTTTGTAATCTGCTCCAATTAAGTCGCATTCCTTCAACATGCGGCTCGAGGCAGAGCAATTTACAATTTTCTCCTAATTTTACTCCTCCCTCTTGCTTTGAACCCTCATGTTTCAAGACTTCTCGCCTCTGCCTTCTGCTATAAATTCAGAGGCGGGTCTTCAACTTTCTTCATCCTTTGGTCACTTGAATCCTTACTCGTTTCATTTCTTTTCTTTGACTTGCCTCCAACGGTTCACGATATTTCTGCCTCTTCCGACAGGATGTCCGACCCCTCGTACGTCGGCCTATATCCCATGGCACGTCTTCCAGACAGATCGACAGGATAATGTCTAGCAACAGCTGCAGTAGGTCGGGATGTTAGGTAAGAGTTCTTGAACCTCCTGACCGTGGGGACTAGGATCTGATGGGAACCTTGCGGGCTCATCGGCCAGTCCTCCTCTACTTTTGGTGTTTTCTATTTCTCTAGTCTTGCCAATTCGTCCATCCGACCCATCCTCTTTTTTTGTAAATCACAAGGCTTTGTTTATACTACTTCTGGCTGGCTTCCGGTTGGTTCCGCATACTACGCCGAGTAGGTCTTCACTTTAGAATGTAAGTCAGTTTCCCCAATGCCGGACTTATGTGGTGGTTTTGCGTGTCCGCAACGCCCTGCCTACTACCTATTACGCAAGGTTTGATGATAAAATACTAGGGAAATCATATATGAACCGGATGGTGGATGTATGATACAAGCTGATGGTTGCTTGATATCTCTTGTATTTACACCATTTAGGACTGCATTTAGTACATATTTTGGTTCTCTTTTGCATGTTTTCCCTTAGTTTTTGCCCCATTTTCTTCTTCTTTTAGACTTAGGTTGCATTTAAGGTATAGTTTGCATTTTTCTTGCATTTAGGATTTTTTTTAGGTGCTTTTGGAGCCAAAAGGAGCTTCGAGGAGCTTTGGGGATGATTCAGGATGCTAGCTGGATCAAAGGGAGCAAGAGAGTTGGTCACAACACGGTGAACATCGGTCAAGAGGTGACCGATACCAGATTTTCGGTCACCAACATCGGTCATGGGGTGACCGATGTAAGCACATCGATCACCAGCATCGGCCAGGAGTGATCGACACAAACACATCGGATCAATTTCGGTCACCAGCATCGATTACTGCCAGACCGACCACAGATGACCGTTGAAACTGACTGATGTAAACCCAGTCCGAACCTGTTTTTATTTACACTTTTGCCATTACTCTAGGGCTTCCTTCTCTAGGCTATAAATAGCCTATTTTTCCAGATTTTCGACAAGTCTTGTCAATTTACTCTTCTTAAGCATTTTCTTTAAGTTTGTAAGACAAATCTTTTGCTTTAATTAATATATTTGAGTATTTGCCTTTAATCATTCTCTATTCTCTCTTCTAATCATGATTAACATCTTTTCCCTTTGTGATTTGGTTTTAAACATGAGTATGAGTGAGTAGTTTGCTTAGAGTTTCTAGATGTGGTAGATTAGGGGAATTTAAGACTTGATTAGGGCTTGTTTAGTGCTTCAGTTATGGGTTCCTCTCTATTAATCTGTTATTAATGCTAGATTTATCTTGGTCACACTTATCTAGGTTGTTAGCTTTCTCTTATGCCCACCAACTGTTTGATGAAATGCTGATCTTGTTTAATAGAGGATTTGCTGGCCTTGGCTCAAGAGATTGACGGTTTGAGGAGCATTTTGACTTGAATAGAGTTGTTTAGTATTGCTTGCTTGATGTTTTAGCACTAATGAGAGTTAGTTCTTGTTAAGATGTTTAACAAAGGGCTATTTGCCAAGAGATTGGATCTAGCTTGCTTGATTGTGAACTCTATGTCTAGGAATCACCATTGCTTGCTTATTTTCTTGATCAATGTAGTTTGAAACAGCCTTAGTTGATGTCTAAATTCCCCAAAGTCAATAACCACATCTAGGAAATTGCTTTTCTCTTGTTTAAATATCGGATTTGCTCTGTTTTGCTCTGTTTTTCTTGCTTAAATCTGCTTAGTTTGCTTTTATTTTCACTCTCTTTGTTGATTGACCACACTAGGGTGTTAGAACAGTTGCTTAGGCAACAAAAACCTTTTCCTGCTTGCTTGACTTAGAGATTTCACTCTTAGCTCTTCTATTTTCAACTAATCCCAATTGGATTGACATTAAAACCCAATGCTACAATGACTAGTACAATGAGTGATTGACATGAGAGGCTAAAACCCTTGTATCAATTTGGCGCCATTGCCATTTGGGATTTATGTTTGAACAATTAGAGTTTGTAGAATCTTTAAGATCAAGCTTTTAGTTTTCTTTGGTTTCTAATCTCCTTTGACTCTAATTTCTGTCTTTCAGGTATATGAACTTGAGATCCAGAGGTTCAAGCAATCTTGTGGACTTCATAGACAACATCAATCTGCTGGATAGAGGACACAGAGCAAGGAGACAGCAAGAAAGGCAGCAACACCTGCAAAGACTTGGGATGAACAATTAGGAACAAGTCATGGATGATATCAGATTCCAGGGTCCTCAAGGAGCTGCAGGCGCTCAGGGTATACAAGGACATCAAGGTGTTCAAGGCTTACAGGGTGAGCAAGGTCCAAGAGGCGCTGCATGCTCCAAGAGCAGCTAGACCTATTGGCGCTGGTG